GAATCCACCAACCTATGAACTTCTAGTCAGGCTATGGAGAACAAGCAGGTGTCTTTTATAAAGGGCTTTTAAGAAGACTTGCTTAGATTCCACAACAATAAGCTTAGAAAAATCTAAGATCACTAGAAGATGCCGGATGGAAGCTTCCCCTTCTTTGTACAATGCAGTTGCTTTCTTGACAGAGAACTGGTTGATTCTACACCCAGTTCATTACTACCCCACAACCACAAGGGTTTGTAATCTAAAATTGGCCTTTGGATATTACTCACTGGCTGGGGGCAGCAGGCACTCATGGACAGAGATTTCTGACAGGAGGGATAGCCACACAACAGGCAGGACAGTGTTTTCAGAAATTCAGAAGGGATCCCAGGGACCCACAGGTGGTGTGCACCCCACACAGTCTCGCACCAAGGAGGTACAGGATGCCCAGCTAACACTGAGCCTACGAGGCGCACCAGGACAGGGAAATGACTCTGAACCAGGCGGGGGGTTGCAAAGAGAGCACAGTTAGACGTTCACTGAGTGCTCACATTGGAAGGCATATTAAGGATCCTAATGAAGGTCCCAAATGCCCCAAATCCTTGATGCTCTTTTCCTTTGAGCAGGGGTAGAGGATCCCTAAGTAGGCCAGCTCTGGCCTCCAATGGCCCATGGGGTAGCGCCTGCATTCCATCTTAGTTCTCGAATTCAATTCCTTCTGTACAAATTTCAAATAACTGTAGTATTCCCAAGCAGCAAGGACCCGAAACTCCACGGCCAAGGCTCCTGGATTCAAAGGCACTCCAGGCTGGCTGACTGGAATTTCTGGGGCAGCTTCCAAACAATTAAAGTCTGAAGGCTTTGACTGAATTAAAGAAGGAAGCAAATAATACTATCAGGACAGAATTCCTTGTGTGATTTCATCTGCTATTACATGCAATTCATTTTACTTGAACATAAGAACGGCCGTACCGGGTCAGACCAAAGGTCCATCTAGCCCAGTATCCTGTCTACTGACAGTGGCCAATGCCAGGTGCCCCAGAGGGAGTGGACCTAACAGGCAATGATCAAGTGATCTCTCTCCTGCCATCCATCTCCATCCTCTGACAAACAGAGGCTAGGGACACCATTCCTTTCCCATCCTGGCTAACAGCCATTAATGGAATTAACCTCCATGAATTTATCCAGTTCTCTTTTAAACGCTGTTATGGTCCTAGCCTTCACAACCTCCTCAGGTAAGGAGTTCCACAAGTTGACTGTGCGCTGCGTGAAGAAGAACGTCCTTGTATTTGTTTTAAACCTGCTGCCTATTAATTTCATTTGGTGACCCCTAGTTCTTGTATTATGGGAATAAGTAAATAACTTTTCCTTATCCACTTTCTCCACATCACTCATGATTTTATATACCTCTATCATATCCCCCCGTAGTCTCCTCTTTTCCAAGCTGAAGAGTCCTAGCCTTTTTAATCTCTCCTCATATGGGACCCTTTCCAAGCCCCTAATCATTTTAGTTGCCCTTTTCTGAACCTTTTCTAGTGCCAGTATATCTTTTTTGAGATGAGGAGACCACATCTGTACGCAGTATTCGAGATGTGGGCGTACCATCGATTTATATAAGGGCAATAATATTCTCTGTCTTATTCTCTATCCCCTTTTTAATGATCCCTAACATCCTGTTTGCTTTTTTGACCGCCTCTGTACACTGCGTGGACATCTTCAGAGAACTATCCACGATGACTCCAAGATCTTTTTCCTGACTTCTTGTAGCTAAATTAGCCCCCATCATATAGTATGTATAGTTGGGGTTCTTTTTTCCAATGTGCATTACTTTACATTTATCCACATTAAATTTCATTTGCCATTTTGTTGCCCAATCACTTAGTTTTGTGAGATCTTTTTGAAGTTTGTCACAGTCTGCTTTGGTCTTAATTATCTTGAGCAGTTTAGTATCATCTGTAAACTTTGCCACCTCACTGTTTACCCCTTTCTCCAGATCATTTATGAATAAGTTGAATAGGATTGGTCCAAGGACTGACCCTTGGGGAACACCACTAGTTACCCCTCTCCATTCTGAGAATTTACCATTAATTCCTACCCTTTGTTCCCTGTCTTTTAACCAGTTCTCAATCCATGAAAGGACCTTCCCTTTTATCCCATGACAGCTTAATTTACGTAAGAGGGACCTTGTCAAAGGCTTTCTGGAAATCTAAGTACACTATGTCCACTGGATACCCCTTGTCCACATGTTTGTTGACCCCTTCATAGAACTCTAATAGATTAGTAAGACACGAATTTTCAATGCGCTGCAGAGTTTGATACCAGCAATGCTGGGTACATCATATTGGTTGCCCTCGGGGAAGCTAGGCAGGGAGCTGATGGGGCTTTGGGTGTGTGTGGAAGGCTGCAGGAATTTTCTGCAAAGGTAAACAGCAGTGAAGTAGTTAATGTAGAGATTTAAATTTCAAAGTTACCCCCTCACTAGGATGCACAGAGCAGTTTGCCCATTGCTCTCTGAGCTATCGTTTCAGGCTCTCTGCAAACTCAAGCAGGTGCCACCACATCAGTTTACCCTGGGTTCATGTCAGGAAGGTTTTCTTTCCCCAAAAGAGGTTTTGTTTTGTTTTGAAATGAGAGATTAGCGTTCACTGCCCAGTTCTGCAGCAAACCCTGCTACTACCGAAAGGCCTGCCAACATGTTGTAGCTCTTGAGCAAGATGCCCATTGCCTCAGCTCATCCTCACCCCAACACCCACCATGACAGGAGCTTTACTGATCAGTGCTAGAGACGCATCCAAGGAGGAGGCCAATTACCCTCAAGCCACTGTGCTAGCCAAGGCATTTATTCCCAGCATCCTAGGCCCATGGCAGATCCTGTCCTATCACCCCCCAACACATGCATTGCCTTTATCTCAAGTGTTGCAATAAGTGTACGGTTTTGATCAAGTGCTCTTGGCTCCCACCAAATCTATACCCTTTACTCATGCCTTTTATGCCCAGGAAATCCATGGCAGCTGCTTCCAAGAGTCCCAGGCCTCCATTATGGCCACACCCTTTGCTCCCAGCTGCCCACTCTCCCCCATTTGATTCAGAGTCACTGATTTCAAGTGCTTTAGGCTCTAAGCACATTCAGGCTGCAACTCCTGGGCTGGGACCCTTAAGCCCCCATCACATTCTTCTGAGCACCCCAGCCTCATCACATACATCTGAGCACCCTACACTTGTGCCACCCGCAGAATTGTAATCCCAAGAGCCTCCAAATCCCATCCCTTCCAAGGGCATTGCCCTCATGTACCCCAGCCCTGTCAAGTCCAGCTCATCTTCCAGAATGGGATGCAGGAGACGGAGAGCACAGGTACCAGGTGAGAGCTTACAGAAGTGCAAGGTGGAGGTGCAGGCTGTGGGAGGTGGGGAAGAGTGCTGGGGAGTGTGATGCACAGGTGCAGTGTAGAAGATGGGGTGCCCTCATGTATAAGAGGGAATGTGGTACTTGGCTATGGGATGTAGGAGGTGGAGAGCGTGGGGTTTTAGAGGCGCCAGGCAAGGGAATATCTGAAGGCAGTAGGGGTGCAGGTGGCTGCTCGGGGGGGGGGGAACTTGGAGTGAAGTTTTGAAGGGCGTTCCAGCCTCTGAAGGAGTTGGGGAGTGGGTGTGGCGTGGGGCTTTGAGAGACACCTGCTGAGGGTATGGCTGCAGGATGTGGGATATGCAGGCATGAGGTATGCCTGCCCCTAAAGTCTGATTTTTTCACAAAGTTGGATGGAGGTGGACATGCTAGTTCCCATCTTGGGCAGAGCCTGTGCTGAGAACTGCTCCTACTAGATCCTTCCACTCCCCTCGGCCTGAATCCCGCTCCACCATCCCATTCCCTGGGCTCAGCCAGACAGAGCTCTCAGTCCTCCCAATCCCTCCAGCCAGTCAGACCGGCCTCCCTCGCCCTCTGCCTGGCCTCCTCTCAGCTCACCAAGGATCAGCTCTGAGTGGAAGTGACATCCATCCGGCTCAGAAGGGAGCAAGTTCCCAGAGAATTCAGGACACAGAGACTGTAAACAAACTGCCTTCCCTACACCCCACCTCTCCCTAAGAGGCATCAGGGCAATAGCTCCCTGGAGTCACCCGGAGAAGGAACTGGGCAACAAACATCAACAGCTCATTATTCTGCTTGACTGAAAAGAAGAAAGGGAGCCTCACTGCTCCTGCTGAATGCTGCTGGGAGAGACTGGGACTGGAGTAGCTGTGAGCTCCCCCCCAGCCAGTGTCCCTATACCATTCCCTGCAGCGCCTCCTGCTGGGAGAGACTGGAGTAGCTGGGGAGCCTCCAAAGCCAGTACTCCTACATTGTCCCTCCAGCACCTGCTGTTGCTGGCAGATGGTTGAGACAGAGAGAGCAGCCCCGAGTCAACTTCCCTATGCCCAGGGCTCCTGCAGCTGGGAGCAGCACGCATGGGTTAGCGCCCAGCTCCCTTATAGTGCCCGCAGGCAGCTCCTCTCTGCTCCCCGGATCTGGATTCAGCGGCATGCCCAGCCGATGCAGAGGCGAATGCAGACGTGCCGCACACACACACACGCGGCGCTGATGCACATCCCAGCCAGGACAGGGCAAACTTCAGCGCTCCTCCATAGCCAGGGCCAGAAGGGAACCGACCCCCGTTCCCCGAACGGTCAGCGCCCAGCTCCCGCCCCGTGCGGTAACCACAGCAGCCGATCCTCCGCGGCAGGCTCACGCACAAAGCCCAGCGGCAAGAAAAAGCAATGGAGGGGGGATCCCCCCGTACCCGGGGTGCAAACTTGCAGGGCTCCAGCATCACCCCCGGCCGGCGCAAGGCGGACAAGGCTGCGCGGGGCTCGGCAGGTTGCGCGCGTCTCCTGCGCTCCCCTAATGCCGGCTAATCACCGGCTCCTCTGACAGCAGGAATCCGCTGCCTGCCCTGCCCTGCCCAGCCGCTGCACCTTCCGCCGTCGCACCGCCGGGCGGATCGCAGCCCTGGGCGGGCAGGTGCGGAGAGGGCACGGCCCCCGCTTACCCGAGCCGGACTCGCTCCTGCATCCTCCTCCCAGCCCCGAGGCGGCTCCCCCCGGGCGCAGGTGGGTGTCGGGGCGTCTCGCCCTCCCCGGCCAGCTCGAGCCGCGGGCGGCGATGCCCTGCTGCCGGTCCCGCGCTCTGCCTGCAGAGCGACCCCGTTCCCTGCCCCTCCAGCGCGTCTGCCTCCGCCGTCGCTCTGCGGCCCGACACCGCCGGCAGCCAATCGGGGCTCGGCTCCGGGCTCGCGGCGCCGCTCAGCGGGGATTGGCCGGGTGGGCAGGCACCGGCCCGGCAAGGCCCGGGGGGCGGGGGAGAGGGGTGTCCCCGTGTCGCTCGGGGAGCTGGGCTGGGGAGGGGCTCGGTGGGCAACGGGTGGGGCTGGAAAAAAGGATCCTTCTGTGCTGGTGCATGGGCAGCCGCTCCCTAGGAAACAGGGTCCCTCCGGGTGTCAGTGTCTGGCTCACACACACACTGTCCCTAGAGACCAGGGTCCCTGGTGTCAATGTCTCTCACACCGTGAGTCACACACGCTATCCCTAGGGAATGGGGTCTTTCCAGATGTCATTGTCTCTCTCTCACACACACTCTCTAGGGAACAGGGTCTCTCTCTCTCTCTCTCTCTCTCTCTCTCTCCCTAGGGAACAGTTTCTCTCTCTCTCTCTCATTCCCTCTCTCTCTCCCCCCCCTTCATCCTCCCCCCCACCTCCCCAGGGAACAGGGTCTTTTCCAGTGTCGGCGTCTCTCACACACACTCTTTCTAAAGAATAGGTTCTCTCTGGGTGTATCTCTCACACAAAAACTCCCTAAGAAACAGGGTCTCTCTTTGGTGTCAGAGATGGTCCCTCACACACTCTCCATAGGGAACAGTCTCTCTGGGTGTCTCACAGACACTCCAGGGTACGGGTTCCTGTGTGCACCTGTTTCTCACATCCACTTGTTAAGGAACAGGTTCTCTCTGTGTTTCACAAAATGCTGTCTAAGGACAGTTTCTCTCTTGCAGTCTCTGTGGAACAGATTTGCTCTCTGTTGCATCCACCCTCAGGGAGCCAGACAATCTGTCTTTAGAATGGGACCTTGTGTTTCTATCAGAGAAAGGGGAAGTT